TTCCCCACACTCCAACTTCTAAATATCCCTGTTAGACGTAGCCAAGGAATCTACCAAAGGTTTTTTTTTTTGTTTTGTTTTGTTTTTGTGAGATAGAGTTTCTCTGTGTAGTGTGTAGCCCTGTCTGTCCTGGAACTTGCTCTGTATACCAAACTGTCCTCAAACTCAGAGATCCACTTGCCTCTGCCTCCCAAGTGCAGGCACCATCGCCCAGATTTTTGAAAAAAAGATACATAAAAATAAACCTATCTGTGCTGGATTGTAAAAATCACCTTTTATTTTTATGTGTATGTGTGTGTAGTTGTGTGAGTTTATGAGCCTCACATGAACTCAGGATCCTGCAGAAGAGGGCATTGGATCCCCTGGAACTGGAGATACAGACAGTTGTGAGCCACCATGTGGATGCTGGGAATTGAACCTGGGTCCTCTGGAAGAACAGCCAGTGTTCTTAACCGCTGAGCTATTTCTCTAGCCCTTTGTGCTGGATTTTTCCCAAGAAGATGAATGGATGGCTTAACAAGTTTGGCTTTACTTACTCTCAGTACTGATCATAAGGACTAAAGGAGATCCAGTTGGAAAGTGTCTGTTACGGGTCCTGTATGTGGCAAGCTGCGTTAGCTGCCTGTCTCCTTCCAGCCTTTGCTGCTCACCGGAGCCAACTAGAGCTGGCCACCCTAGTTCCCCAGAGGCATGCGATAGATACCATGATGGCAACTTAAAGTTGTTGTAATTATCACTTTTAGAGGTGCATTCATTTTCATGTGTATTTATGAGTATCTGATCTGCTTGGGCACCATATACATGCTTGGTGCCTGGGGAGGTCAGAAGGAGGTGTTGAGAGCGGGGAGTGGGGTTACAGGCAGCTCTGAGCTTCCATGCGGTGCTGGGAACCACACCCCAGTCCTCTGCAAAAGCACTATGAGCTCTTAGCTATGGGGCCATCTCCCCGTCATCATTATTTTGTTTATTTATCTGAGTCTGTGCTCTTGGGTGTGTGCTCTGCTGTGTGCCATGGCACGCACATGAATAACTCTGAAGAGTTAACTTTTTTCCTTCTACCATGTATGTGTGTCTGGAATTGAACTCAGTTTATCAGGTTTGGTGGCAAGTGACCCTCAGAATTATCTTGCCAGCCCCTGGCAACTTAGTGCTGGCTTTGGTAGGAGTATTTATATTATAGAAATCAGAAATGAAGCAAATCAGGGCCTCTCCACCCTGACTCCAGGCAGACATTTCTGTTCCCTTCTTTCTTTCAAAGATATGAGCTGAACCGTGGAGGACGGTGTGCCAGAGAGGAGAAGTTTGGCTGTGAGTGACACAGCATGGTGGCTTCTCTAGCTATAAACTCCTTTCTCACTGACAGAGTCCAAATCAAGGCAGATCAGGACATAGGCGGCTGCTCTAGCTGTGGCCTCACTGTCCTCAGCACCTGGTAGAATCTTCATGGTTCAAATCAAGATGGCAGCTTGAACTCTTGCCAGTAGGGGGGGCACACTCCTGTTAAAGACCACCGACCGAAGAAACTCCTGGCTGTGCATACTTCAAATGTGCTGAAATGAAGTCCTGCTCTGTCTGGCTGCAGGTGGAGGTCTAGAGAGGGCTGAGCTGGCCTTGTGTCCTGTGGGAACTGGGAGGAGGAGGGTGGCTTGGGCAGTTGGCCACCCCACCCACAAAGGAGCAGTGCTTGGAAACCTGTAGGAAGGGGAGAGGCAAGTTGGTGTGCCAGGAAGAAGGGGAGTTTGTGCTTTGAGGGAACTAACTGGAATAGAAGCAGGAATATTAACAAACGAGGTTAAGTAAATAAGGTGGCGACCCGCTCTCTGAGCATCTTGGAAAGGAGACAAAAGAATCTTTTATCTCCCGCCATTTGGTTACTCCAGGCAGTAGTGAACTTTTCTTCAGAAAGACAAATCATCAGAGGCATTTTAGAATTTTAATCTGACACACATGTGTGCTGAACCCATGTGGAGTAGGGGAGAGACACGAGGTGTGGCAGGGAGCACCTTCACCTTCATGAACTGGCGGGAGGCATGGAAGTGAAGAGGGCAAGAAAGGAGAAGCAGTTGCTAGGAGATGCTTTGGGATGGATGGATGGTCTCATAATGGACTTCCGGATACGGGGTTTGAGGGCCAGGCTCCCGAGGAGAAAAAAGAAAAATAATACACTCGATAGGTGTTTGAGAGTGAGTTACCTAGAAGCACAACCATAGGCAGTAACTTGTGTTCAAGGGATTTACTGGAGGACACTCTCAGGAGAGAGAAAGTGAGGGAAATGGGATGGGAAAAAGCTAAGCCGGTGCACACTTAGACTGGAAACTGCATCAGAGAGTCAGGAGTTAGGCTTGCCTCAGAGCAAGGGTGGCGGTGGTGGTGGTGGTGGTGGTGGTGTGTGTGTGTGTTTCTGTGTGACTGTATGTGTGTGTCTGTGTGTGTGACTGTGTGACAGTGTGTGTGTGTGTGTGTGTGTGCGTGTGTGTGCGTGTGTGTGTGTGTGTGTGTGTGTGTGTGTGTGTGTTGTGTTGTGTGTTAAGTGCTGGAACAGGATCTTGGCCCAAATGGCAGCAGTGGAAGCATCCGTGTTGGGTGTGTTGGATTTGAGTTTGTAAGGAAACAAAATTGGCGATAGCTAATGAGAACTGGGAGGCCTGAGGTCAGGGTTCACATCTGAAGAATGGGAACAGACACACAGACGTTGGACTGGGCGACCCATGGCACACGGGTGACATATTGAACAAGCTTGGAGCTCGTGGAAGGTCACAGATGGACAGGGGGCACTCCTTTTGGAAGACAGTTGACACCGTGGTGGGAAGGTGGGTGGGAGGAGAAGGACACCCGGTGGTGTCTTTGTCAGGACGGGGAGTCAAAGGAAGATGTTGAAGGGCACTGTGTAGGAGAAGAGGTGGAAATGTTTTTGTTCTGAGCTGTGCTGGCCTTTCAGGGAAAAGCTCGTTGCTAACTGGGTGAGAAGCCACAGTGAGCTCATATTCTGAGGCCAGACATTCTGACAAACTTAGACCTTCCCTAGGGCACTTTATTTTCTGTTCCTTTTTGGTACTGGGATTGAACTTTGGACTCTCACAAGCTAGACAAGTGAGTGTCCTTCCACTGAGCTATAGTCTCAGCCTCTGAATTTTTTTTCTTTTTTTTTTTTTAGTATTCATTTTTATTTTAGGTGTTTAGGGTTTCTCTGTGCCTTTAGAGTCTGTCCTGGAACTCGCTCTGTAGACCATGCTGGCCTCGAACTTACAGAGGTCTGCTTACCTCTGCCTCCAGAGTGCTGGGACTAAAGGCATGCGCCACCACCACCTGGCCTCCATTTTTAAAAATTTTGAGGCAAGTTCTTACTAAGCTGCCCAGGCTTGTCTTGAACTCACTCTGTAGCCCAGGCAGGCCTTGAACTTGTCAGCTCCCTTAACCTCCTAAGAAGCTGGGGTTACAGCCCCAGTCGCTAGTGAGCCTTGGGCTGAAATTCACAAATTGCTCAACTGACCTAAAACGACTTCATGGACTGGTTGCATCATATACACAGCAAACCACTCTGCCTTGGAAACACCAGACAGGCTTTGCCATGTTCATGGATCCTGCCGGTGAGGCACTGGAGCAGAGTAGTGGGGACAGGCTTGCCTCTGAAATGGGCAACTGGAATCACCCACAGCCTCCTCTACCCCAGTGGGTAGTGAGTGGGTTCCGGCTATTGTTGCAGGGCCTCAGGTCTCCCGGGGTGGTAACTGATCTCATGTTAGGACTGGAAACTGAGGGAATGCCTCCAAGGACAAGCAGTGTGGAGAAAGCCTTGAGGTGTTTTTGCTAGCTCAGGCATTGCTGGCCACAGTAGAAATGGGTCTCCTTTGCTTTACTTTGCATTTCTCTTGCATGCTGGATGGTTGCTAAGAGACCAGGCTCAATCCCTCTCCCCAGGCAAAACTAGGGCTCAAACCCAGGCCTCATGTGTACTGTGCAAACACTCTACCACCGAGCTTTACCTTAGCCCCCTGCTTGATGCCACTTTCAAAATATTTATTTTATTTTATTTTGGGTTTTTTGAGACAGGATTTCTCTGTGTAGCTTTGGAGCCTGTCCTGGAACTCGCTCTGTACACCAGGCTGGCCTGGAACTCACAGAGATTTGCCTGCCTCTGCCTCCCGAGTGCTGGGATTAAAGGCATGTGCCACCAATGCCTGGCTTATTTTATTTTTAATAATGATTATGTGAGTATGTCTGTGTTTGGGTATGTGAATGCGTGAATGCAGGTGCCCAAAGAAGCTGGAGGGGGGATGTCGTATCCCCTGGGGCTGGAGTTCCAGGTGGTTGTGAGCTGCCCAGTGTAGGTGCTGGGAACAACTTGACCCTGTGCAGAACAAGTGCTCCTCACTGCTCAGCTGTCTCTCTAGTCGTTCCCCTCCCCCCTTTTAAGTAAAAGCCGAGAAAGGAGATCTATTTGTTATGGTCACATTAGGAACAAATAAAGGATTTCAGTGACACCCCACTTCTTTTTGAGACAGGTTCTCATATACACCAGACTGGCCTTGAACTTGCTAAATAACCAAGAATGACTTGAACATTTTTTTTTGTTTTTGAGACAGGATCCTTCTCTGGCCGCCCTGGGCCTTGCTATGTAGAACAGACTGGTTGAAATCCCAGAGGTCTGCCAGCTCTTAGTCCCGAGTGCTATGATTAAAGCTGTCTGGCAATAACTTTTTCTCTTTGAAGTTGCTTCTGTCCTTCCACTGTGGGTTCTGGGAATCAGACTCAGTCAGGGTGGAGCTTTTAACTTCTGAATCAGGATGACTCTTCCTTCCTCCCTTCCTTCCTTCCTTCCTTCCTTCCTTCCTTCCTTCCTTCCATCCCTCCCTCCTTCTCCCTCTTCCTCTCTCTTCCTCTCTCTCTCTCTCTCTCTCTCTCTCTCTCTCTCTCTCTCTCTCCATCTCTCTGGC